TAGTTTCCTTCACACTGCAGCAGATACAATGTCAGCTTCAGGTAATCATGTTACTGTATTTGTGTAATGATTCACCCTCGAAAACATAATCTACCCATTCAGCACTCTGCTATTGACAGCAGCAACAGAACAAGCCTTCTGTTGGGACTGTGCAGTGAAGACTGCTTCTCTGAAACTACTTTAACTGTTATCTGGTAGAAATCTTGGGGGATGCAAAAAAAAAACAAAACAACACACACACACTGATTGAATAGTTGTTGTTGTTGTTTTTTTAATCATTAGCTAAAGGTAGCAATGGTGTAATGTGTTTGCATCAGACTTCTGTTTTTCCTCTTCAACCTTAGAAAAGACACATATCCCTCCATATCCATATCCCTCTCTTTGGCCTGCCCACATATTACACAGTATTGATTTCCAGGATCTTAAGCTAGAAATTCCCATTACTTGTCATGTGTTGTATGTGGTGGGTATAAAGAAGAGAGAATAAGATCAGAATGGAGACCCTCATCCTTTGGACTTTAGAAGACATCGTGTTAGGTGATTCAATACACTCTCAAATGATGTCTTGTCAAATTATATAGTTCAGTATCGATTTTCTCCGCAGAATGAGGAGCAGCTTTCAGACGCAACAGCTGTAGCTCATTGTAGATCTGGAAAAGTGTTCATTCGATTTTTGCTGCATTTCACCTATTCCCTGCTCCCCTCAATATAACCACTTTCTGTGATGGACATTTTGAGGTCATTGTATAATTTCCATGCTACAACAATACGAATCCTGTGGTTGGTTGTTAACAGCTGTAAATATTAAACTTAGGGTTGTCCTGATAGCATTAGCAAACTGACACAACTATTTCCATTTGTTTATATTGAGGGCGATACCTGTATCAACTGTTCTTCAGTAGGTTGGATTTCATTAAATATGCAATGAGCCCATAGGCAGTTGTGTATAGGAGGTACAGCTCTCTGGGAAATAGTGTGAAGAAGTGTGGGCAAGCAAAGAAGGAAAATAATACTACTAATGATTGCATTTTCTTCTTATTAAGAGATTTTAAAATTACTGCTGGTAACAAGTATAATGTAGCTGGATCAACAAGATTTCAAATCCAGTATGGACATTTAAATCAGGTATTGAGGCCACATTTGATAGGATATGTGGTAATGATATTAGGGCATCCCAAAAAAAAGGCTAAAATGACAGCATAGATTACCAAAAACCTTAACATAAATTGCATTGTGTTGCGTGTTGGCTTCTGTCATCAGCCTTTAAACTATTGTTGTAAGGCTTTGTGTAGAGCATAAGACTAATTTTTAGATTGGGTTTCCAATTGTTTAATTTGTACAGTGAGAGTAAATGTATTGATGCAGGGATGACATATGAGAATGTCGTTACCAGTTTGATCAGATTCAAGAGGCCCTCTAATGTATCATGATTTACTTTCTTTCAGTTGAAGATTAGAATTAAAATGTGACTCTTATTGTATATCAAGCAATTTAAGGAAAATGGTATTGGAGCCGACCTCAGGGGACACACAGGCGTTATAGAAGGCAGCTATGTTCAATCAAGGATTATAGTTTTGCCAATCATCTCTTCCCATCTCATCATTGTTCCCTCTCGTTTTTTTCCATGTCTTTCATTTTACTATTACTCCATCATTTCCACACTCTTTGTCTTGATGTCTTTCCAACCCATTTCATGCCCAGGCCCTGTTTCTTACGTCCCTCTATCCATCTTCCTGCCACTCCTCCATCTCATCATTTCTACTGAGTAGGGCTAATTAAAAGGGATCTGACGGAGTGCACTGACCACAGAAACATCAATCAATCTCTGTCCAACACGGCGAGCCCCCGCTGACTCCTCCAACCTGCTGCCAACATGCAGCTCTGCAAAGGTTAATTGTATTCATTATATATGGGACATAGAGAGAGACAGTGAAAGGGAACGAGACACTGTCTAAAGTCACCCTTGAAGATGCTGGCTTGAGCCAAATTCTCAGTGGATATTGACAGAACAAATGTGCAACCATCAGTACCCCCTGCCAACTCCTTAAACCTTACCTTAATTGATGGATTTGTGTTGACAAAAATTAGAATGTCTTATATTTTAAATATATTTCCCTCACTCTCCTTCATTTGTTCACCACATCTCTGTTCTGTTGCAGCACAACACAATAATCATATTAATCTAGTTGTTAAAACGTATGAAAAGAGTCACACATCATTAACACAGAATCCTGATTAGTTACTTAAACCTTTACAGACGAATCTAAAACTCTTTTGGGTCCACATGACTCTGCTGCTAATGTGGTTTGAAAGTAATCTACTTTTGTGTGCAGCTGCTGTTTAGTACAGTATCTTACCCAATGTTTACCTTGTTTTCTCATTAGTATGATGTAATTAGTCAAACTTATAGGGAACTCTCAGTGCTTTTCAGATGATCAGTGAAAAATAAGCAAATATTTACTTTATAGTCACGGTTGGGAATTTAATGGAAAATGACGTATTATTTTACAATGTGTTTTAGTGCTTCGTAATAAAATTTCCTAAATGGGTCAGAGTGTCATTTAGAATAATAATGCCTCAGCCCTGCAAATAAAATTTTATGCGGACATGAAAGCCGAGGGAAGCAATTATCTTTTCACATTGAGGATAAAAAATATGTCTGTCAACTGCCAACAGTCTGTGTCAAATCTCATTTACACTTGTCTCCGTTTTGGTGATCACTCCACAGATCTGGGCACAGAGCTATTTCACTCATGTTTGCATTACTTACTCTCAATTCCTTTCTTTAGTTTTTTTTTTTAAGTGAAAGAGGGAGACATTCATCTTTATTATGACCAATGTTTTTATTGTAATCTGTCTTTTAGGAGATTCTCCATTTCTTTATAGTTTCCATAAACCCAGTGATTAAGAAAAAGATTTGTGCAGCAAAGTGAAATGTTTCACAACGTTAACCATGATTTTATTGCCAATAATATCATATACCTGCTATCTGAGGATTATTCATTTGATCATTATTTTGCAATTGCTTTTGGTTCAACAAATAACTGTTGCAATGTATATTTTTAGTGACAAAAAACTGTGCTGTCATAAAAAGGGCCTTAAAATATATGAGTATATTGTTCAGAGGTGTGGTTAGCGTGTTTCTGGTATTTATTTGACATGGTTTTAGTTGGAGAGTCACTCAGAATGTTACGTTTCTTTTGCTCCCATCTCGTTGTTAGTCTGTAATGTTTTAAACCTTTTTTTATATATAATTGCTGTGTGTGCCCTGTGCTCTTCCTGTCTTGCTGTAATTCTTCTTCTCTCCACACTTTGCTGAAAAAGTCATGTGAAAACCCTTCCTCGCAATTACTTTGTTGTACTTGAACATAATCCTCTTTGCACTTAAAAAAAAAAAAACACTTTCAAATCAAAGTAAGAAAAAAAAACAGTGTCATTTGTCTGCACTCCTGCACTCAGCTTGGACAACCTGCTGGCAGTGTGCTGAACACCCTTTAACATACCATGGAGGAACCTAATAGCAGAAATAACACATGCAGTGCCATCTGTTTGCTCTGCAATATGAAGTTTTATTATGACAAGCTCCCATTGTTCTGGAGGGACTTAAATTCCTGAACTCATCATTTTTAATTTACACATGTTGTAATTCTATCTAATAGACTGTAAAATATTGACTACGCTGGCATTTCACAAAAACAATAATGTACTTTTACCTCTTCTATGTAGTGCAATGCTGTAAGCAAGCTGTTTTCTGAAAATAGTAACAAGGATGAGACATAAGACAAAAAAAGAGCAATTTTGTACTAAACATGGTTGGTTTATCAATGTGTATATGATACTGTATTAACAATAGACAGTAGAATTAAGTGTTAGTAAGATTATTAATATATTTTTTGTAACATCAAGATAAATTATAAATGGAGCAGCCAATCAATATTCAGTACTGATGAAAATGTGTACAAACTGGAAAGTGTGCACGGGTGAAGCCAAGAGCACAGACTGAGACTCTGCACTCAACAGTAGAGTCGTTCTGGTTAACAGCACATCAGGAAGCATCAGCGGCTCACTCTGTTTCTGAAACACTACGCTGCACTTCTGTGGTTCTGTCACTAAAATCAGTTGCAGTCACAACTATGTGAATCCCTTAGCAACCTACTTTCTGTCTTCAAGAACTGTTGGCATCTTTTTCAAGCACTAGTGCATCATATCACAAACTATACATGCAAATTACACAATTATAAAAGGCCTGAGGAGACAATTGAATGTTTTCATACTATGAGGAAAAACACAACAACTCTCCTTTCAATGAGACTGACACTGAATTATTAGGTGTAACACTCAGAAGTCTGTTTTTGGAAATTTTCATATCCGGCAAAGTTCTTCTGCCATTTTGCATTTTACTGAAATTGTGTCTTGTTATAGGAGAAGCCTACATCATGTCAGTAGTTGCAGTCCCTAACCTGACTGAATGCATCTGTATAAAGTATATTATACTGCCTCCAAATGGCAGGGAGGCAGTACTGCCCCCACAGCTGGACACTGAAATCAAGGTCATGGGGAAGCGTGTCAACAGCAGGAAACATACATCTTAAGCCTTTGTCCCAAGGGGATTTGGGGGAATGTGCACTTCATGCATGTGGATGTTTGCATAGAGGACATTTAAACGTGTTTGTTCTCTGTTCCTGTCTACACAAGTGTGTCTGAGTCACGGGGGAGAGCTTTGCAGTGGTGGCTGGGTTTGCCTCATGAGCATCATTATCACTGGAATAAACAACAGCTAGGCCCTAATGTCCTCAGTGCCCTTGCTCCTCTATTATATGTTCTCAATTGGGTGTATGTAAGTGGGTGCACAGATCCTTCAGCTCTCAGGGGTGTATTCTCAAGTGAAATGAATTAAATACAATATAGAAATGATTTTAAAAAATATTGAAGTTGAACCTATTCCTGTCATTACCTATATTCTAATACTTTAAACCTTATTTATTTGTGTTTTTCTAAAGGTACTTAATCCCTTCCCTGGATCGTTCCCATGCTGGCTTTTACCGCTGCATCGTCAGAAATCGAGTTGGGGCCCTCCTACAGAGACGCACAGAAGTACAGGTGGCCTGTAAGTATCCACGAGGGTGCAGGTGAAACATAGATGAATGGAGAGAGAGAGAGTGGCTGCATGTAGAGTAACCAGTTTGCCAACACACTGTTTGGCTGCCTTTGTACTAAGGACTGAAGAAGCAGGGACAGATGCTGGCAGGGTGAAAGATCTACCTGCATCTCATTGGGGGCGTTATCAACATGGACAGCTGTTCCACTCAGCATTCTCATTAGATTGATTTTGTTGCTGTGGTTGTTTGAAACTTTGCTTCATTTTAATAGGACCATGGTTTGTTCTATTCTTTCGCTTTTGTCAACAACATCTGTCGGTGCTTGGTTAAAAAAAAAGAAAGAAAGAAAGCTCAGATATAAGTGCTTCTGAACATTTCTAGTAGCAAACAGCTCCTTCGTCTTGTTAACAAGCTATTGTAAAATGTGCCACTGAGGTGTCAAGTGTGTTGTCACGTTGAATCCACCCCCACACTCCTAAACCCATCCTTCTCACAGGCACAATGATCCCACACCCATTATCCTTCCTTCCCTGGGTATGCCAGGTTCATTGGCTGCCCCCACTTCAAATGACATTTGAGTAGATGTGACATGCCATTTTCCCATGAATGAAAAAATGCAGCCTTAAGTGAGAAAGTAATGAGGAAAACGGCAGGGCCAGTTTGAACAGTTTTTGATCTCCTTAAAAAAAAGAAAACTTTCCAAATATATTCCTGCATCTCATTCTGGAGGAAAAGTAACTCACTACATCTTTGAGTTTTTTCTGTTCTCTTCCTCATTCCTGCCCTCCTACCACGCAGCACCTTCTCCATTGTCTTGTGTCCAATAGCTCCACTCAATGTCCTGAGCACTTGTCCAAACTTTGTTCTCCTGCTGCCTCCTTCTCTGGCAGGCTGATGATGTTGAACCTCCATCACTTTCTTTTTACTTTTTTCTTCTCCTGACTCTAAATTTGCTTTTCCTGTTGCATCAGCCATCTTTACTTGTTATTTTCCACTCTGCTCTCACAAAACAGAGGTATTGTGTTTGTCTATATTGCTGCCTCATCCTATTTCAGTCACTCATGATGTAGGTTCTGAGACAAACAGTGCAACAAAAAAAAAAACAGAATTAAGGACATCTGCAAGGGGAAATAAAAGGGGTAAACTCTGTGGAGAGAGAAGTAGAGAAGATATAAACAGGTAGATAGGAAGGTCTTCTTTGGGTGGTAAGCCATTGAGGTGTCACAATTAGAATGGCAGAGATACACCCTCGCAGAGAAAGAAACATGCTGAGGCAGTAGAGATTAGGAAAGATGGGGAGGACATCAGATTGCCGATACTGAAGATCAAAGTGAGGGGATTTGCACTCTTCCTTGGTTTTCATTTAAGCTAAGCCCTAGAACTCCACCACAAAGAGAGATTATCTTTTTATTCTCTTAGAACCAGGGGGGAAAGAGAGAGAGGGAGAGAATGCTGAGAATGGCTAACTGTTCTGTACCTTCCCTGGTTTAAAGCCTTACACCCTGATCTGTTCACATCTTAATGACATGATGCCTGAACCGTTGAAACCTAATTAATTGTTTGACGTAATGTTGGAGTGAATGACTTCAGAAGTTTTTCTTTATCGTTTTGAATTGAAAAGGCAGCTACATCAACCCTTCTGTTTTCTTCAACAAGCTTGATTCTCAAAGTATTTTAGTTTGACTTCTTCCAGACCCATCTCCACTTTCTGCTCCGACAGCACTGGAGGAAGAAAAGGCAACATCTGCTTGTTACTGCCATCCTAAAAGGTTTACAGTCAGCAACAGCCAATATGATCAAATCAGTGAATGCACAGCGTGTGTCAAGAGCACTCTTAAAAGTTTGGAATAATTGACGTAAAGTGCAGCAGGAAGACCAAACCTAGGTTTCACTCAGAAGTTTGGCAGAACAGAGAATGGGAGTTGTAACACTATACTTTTCTTTGCTTTTAAAGTGCAGTGAAGTGAAAGTGACAAAAAAATAAAAATAAATAAGAAAAAAATTACCAAATGAGACCCATTAGAATACCAGAGAATTGCAGCAATGTCAGCCATGGGCTATATAGAGCAATGCACATATTTAAAAGTTATCAAGACCGATTGCCCTCTTTGCTTTCACACTGGAGGATGACGAATATGAATCAATTTGGTGTCCCTCCTGTGTCCCTGGGTGAGTGATTACATCCCAGTTCCTTGTAGCCTTTCTTGATTCACTGTGGAAACCATGGCAACTCCAGGGCGCTCTCTATCAGCGCAGCTCTATGTAAAACTGCAGAGGAGAAGGCAGATGGCCAAAGCACAGAGGGCAAAGAAGGTTGATTATTTTTTTGAAAGGGGAAGAACAGTTGTATATAAATAATATAACTTTTTTGTGTGTATTCACCTTTTGTTTGTAAATTCAGTTTTTGATACTTCTGTTTTCCTGCAGTCATGGGTAGTTTTGAGGAAGGTGAACGTGCCCAGTCCATCTCTCAGGGAGAGGGGGCGGTAATCACTGCACCACGTATCCGCAGTTTCCCACAACCACAAGTCACCTGGTACAGAGATGGACGCAAGATTCCACCCAGCAGCCGCATGTAAGTGCCTTTTTACTTACTTTACTTGTTTCCTTCTACTGTTTAGTCACTTTGGTCTGAGAACTCCAGACTGTAGAGTCTAAAACATAAACCTAAAACCACATGAGCACAGATGCCTCGAGCAATGCTCAACTTTTGGTTCCTTTTCCCTAGTTTGTCTTCTTTCTGGCCTTGCATTGCTGAAGGCATTGTCTCTGTGTTATTCCCCTACTCTGCTTAGACTAGTCCTATATAATAATAAAAAAAAAAATGGCAGAAAATGGTCCAAAAGAGCGAGCATGTGTTTTCTGAGGTCAGCTATCAGTACGAGCCAGCCAGAGGCAGAGATGTTTGTACAACACCATCAGTGTCTGATTGGGGTATTGAGCCATGGAGCTGCTGACATTGTCAAATGGAATTGTTGTTTTGCTTTCCTACTCTGTTCACTTACAAGGAAAGGTATAAAATGGAAAGCTGACCAGGAGTGTAACCCTTTTGCTCTGGATTTGCTCTGGACTAGTGGCCAGTTTTGTTGCCTGGATTTGACCCTGTCTGCTCCAGCTGTAGGAGCATCAAATTAAGCACATTAATTGACATCTATAGCCAGATATTATTTGAGGATTTAATGTCTAACTCTACTAACAGTGTGAGACACAAGGTGATTGAAATTCATGCAGCCAGATCATCCGCTGTCATTCTCTGAACCTAATTGTATTGCACACTGTGTAGTTCGGCTATCAACAGTCCATGTGGACATGTCATTATGGTAATGTAGTCTTAAACCTCAAGCTTGGAAGAGAACAATTTAAAGAGTAGCCTATTAATTTTACAGCTGCTTTGATAGCTGCAGTCTACTCAGAGAATGAAATGTATTTTTATCCTTTCAATAACTGTTCAATACAAACCATGTAAGACAAATTGAAGCTCCTCCTTCACAAAACTGTTTACCTACTTTAGAGTCCCTGCTCGAAATCGTTTTACATTGTTTTACCCCTGAACCCCTTAACTGTTACGCTCTTTGGCCTGTCATAGCCCCAATTTAATGCTGAATCTAAAAAAGATAATAAACCTATTGACCAGAAAAAAAGAGAGAATTAAAATCACAAAAATAAATATTTATTTACACTTACCCAGGCGCTACTGCCATCAAATTCATGAAAAGAGAGAACACGGCAGCTACACATATATAAAATATACACATTTACCCAAACGCACAAAAAGTTTACACCTATCTCACTTTATCTCCGTTTTTTTACCCAGTTAGGTGACCTTGTCCGTCTGTTGGTGAAAATCTCTCTTATCAGCTCCTCTTCATCAGTAATTACACACGCTGACCTTAAGTTACAATGAGACAAGACGAACCAAAGCCTTAAAAAAAGCATTTTCA